GTGAATCCCACACAGAACTAAAACTAATAGCTCACACAAGATGGTTACAAAAAAAGATTACATTCTTTCTGAACGCACTCCTATTTTTTTTTTTCATATGTATTTTCTGACCTCTCTTCAACGGATTGTATATTTCCTCACTCACTTCAGCATCTACCTCGAGCATGTCGACGACGTTTTGAAGGCGGTGGAGGAAATAGCCGGAGAAGGAATCACCGAGCTGATCAACACGTCCAAAGATGAAAGCTCTGCTTCCTGGCCCACTCTGAACCGGTAAACTACTTCTCATTTCTCATTTGTTATCCTCTTTGCTCCTGTAAGTTGCAGCAGCACCTGAGAGCACCGGGCCCATAAAACTGCAGTCAGTTTATTTGCTGATATTTGCAAAAAACGTACGACTATATATTTTTTTTGTATTCTGCAGACAAACGTTCCTGGTTTTCTACAAGGTTTTGATGGCCGAGCTGGAGAAAGCTGCCAGGAAGATTCCCGCTGGTAAAACGAGCGACAGCTCTGAGGTCAGACTCCTGGGCACAGCGCTGCCTGCGCTCCTGTTTGAGACGTCCATCAGTCTTTCCTGTGATTTGAAGAGTAAGACGGAGAGCATCTGTGTGAATCTTTTAGGCTCAAAGCGAGAAGCTGCTGACGTGGAACCTGGCCGTCAGAGACTTTCACATCCTAGTCAACCTGGTGAAGGTAAATTCATCTGTTCATGCCTTCGTAAAGCAGTAAAACCTCCACGTCTTCACTCAAGTGTTCACATGAACTCTTTCTTGGCATTTTGTTTAAATGAATTAAAGAACCATGTGTACAGGTTTGATTCTAACAAAACTTTCTTCAATACATATACAGATTCTAAGTTATACATAATAATATGTACCTTAGTAAGTTTGCTAAATTGGCAGCTCTTATTTTTAAAGATTATTGCAGCTACATGTTGTTTAATTATTCCACCCTGAAAGAAAAAAAATAGTCACTAATAATAAAACTTCTATTAACATAATTTATGGTGACAGACTATTCACTCAAATTGTCACGTTTCCATATTTTAATGTCCAAATATGAATTGACTCTTCCAAGTGAAATCTAATTCTTTCTAATTGTTCTCATACATTAATATGGAGAACAATTGGATATAAAACAAAAACAGATATAAAAGTTTTTGTCCTTTGATCACCTTGTAGGTGTTTGATTCCAGGCCAGTACTGAATGTGTCCTTAAAGGTGAGTTGGCTTTCTTTGCTTTCTGGAGGTTATTATATTTAGTTTCCTCTGCTGCTGTTACTTTGTTAACCAAAAAACACGATTTGCTTTTGCCAGTATGGACGACTTTTTCTGGAGTCTTTTCTGAAGTTGGGAATGCCGCTGCTAGACTACAGTTTCAAGAGGCACAAGGTAACCAAAAAGCAGACCTCGCAGGAAATATCAGTTGTGCTTTAGTGCGTTTGGTCATTGCATTTTGATCGAATCGTGTTTAAAAGGCATATTGTAAGTATCAAGAAATGTGTCAAAAAAATTTTTTCAGGTTGTTCTTGATCATCTCAAGTAGATTTACAGCCAGTGCTTTACAAAAGCTGAAAAATACAGTTTTTGTGTATAAACTGTGCATATAAACACTGTGTGCATAAATTGCATTTTAAAGGAGGATGTCCAGAGTTTGCTGAAGACCTTCCAGCTTAGCACTCGGCAGCTCCACCACATGTGTGGACATTCCAAGGTAGCAACAGCTTTATCTCTTCTTACTCGTTCTGTGAATTCATTTTCATCCCGTGATGCAACGTGTTGCAAAACTGGCGGCAGAAAACCTCACGAATACTTCAAGAAGAGCTCCCATAATAACCGTATAATAACAACAATTGGCCTTTCAGGGTCGTTTAGACAATCTACAAACACTCATCCTGGAAATAAATATCAGAAACGGACTTATTTTTAATAAATTACTTTGTTTTGGAATGATTGCTTTACTAAATTATAATTTTTTTGTTGTTGTTGTTTTGCTTGTTCAGGATAATTTGTGAAATACTAGTTGGGATACATGTACACATTTGATGCTGTGAGAAAGAGGGAAAGGGGGGGGGGGGAAGAGTAGTTAAAATAAATGACGAGCCCAGAGTTATTGACATTCGTGTCCATGTTGAGTGCATGTAAAATTCCTATCCTCACGGTATCTGAATGTTTCTCTTTCTCAGATTCACCAGGACACCAGCCTAACTAACCACGTGCCAGCAGTGAAGAAGAGCCTGGAGCTGTTTGTGTACAGAGTGAAGGCCATGCTGACACTCAACAACTGCCAGGAGGCCTTCTGGATGGGAAACCTGAAGAACAGGAACCTGAAGGTCACGCATGGTTTAACTTTTATCCGACGGCGGCTTTTGATTCGCGAACTCCAAAAGAATCATGTGATGCATCTTGCAGGGTGAAGAGATACTTTCTCAGAGATCACAAGGGAGTGATGACGATGACGACGACGACGAAGAGGAGGAGGAGGGGAATCAGGAATTACCGCCAGCACAGGAACAGTCAGATGATGAGGTACTTGCCTGTTAAAGAAATGGATTCAGACTAACTGTCATCCATCCGTAAAGCCTGAGGACGGCAGTGATATTTCCCATAAATGCACTGTAAACTTTTGCATTTAAATTCAAACAAAAATGATGGTAAAACATAGAAATGTGGGTCTGTAGAAGCAGGGCATTTGAAATGAAAAACGTATAGGGGTTTTGAGCTTATTAAAAGAAATATCAGGAAATGGTCAACAAAATAATCATGTATTGAATGTAAAACACCATAGTAACACCTAAGGATCTACATTACACGCACTAAATACAACAAACCAGATAGACTCATATTTAAAATGGGCGTAATCAGAGTCAGAAGTCAATAATGGTGGTTTTTACTTTTTGAACCAATTGAGAAATGGTCACAGTTTAACTGAGTGGAGCTGCGGCCATGAAGGCATTCTGCAACACATGATGAGAACTGAAAATCTCTTAAACATAACCGTAACGAGGAACTGTTTTCTTAAGTTGTGTCTGGGATAAGTTTGTTCACTTTAAAATGAAAAAGGTTTGGACTTTCGTAATATTCTTTTGAGACATCAAAATATGTGCAGAAATTTAAATGAGTCCTGCTGACAGACAGCTGAGGCTCTAGAGGGCAGCAACCTCTACATGAAAACTTCTGGAGTTGACTTTTGAAGGCTAATAGTTTTCACAGAAGTCCAGATTCGCTCTGCAGAACCGTTGCTCTACTTGAAAGTTTGTCCTGAAGTAAGTTATGCATTTTAAACAAATATCATGTTTTTATCTCTGCAGGTTCAGGACGGTGATTCTGACTAAACCAGTAGGATCAGCAGAAAGGAGGGCAGTACAGACGATTCCGATTAAAACTTAAATATGTAAACTTTTGTTTTATTTCATTAAAAAAAAAAAAAGTAATTTACAGATTCATCTTTTTTTGTCTGTGTTTAATAGATTTAATAGTAATTTTTAAGCTATTAAATGCTAATTGGCCAATATTTAATCACGGTTTGTTTACATTTAGGCAATAAAATACAAAATGCCGGTCACTTTAAAGGATTCATGGGATGAATTTTTGCATCTTAACATGCCTATTAAAGGACTACTGTTACTGTGTGTTCTGAAGAAAATCTTTTATTTGTCAGCCAATAAATAATAGATTGCTTTGATCACAATAATTCTGCTTAAATTGTTTGTTTCAAATGTTTAACGTAAATACGTCTGTGTTGCCGGGATCAGGCACGGATGACGTCCAGAGTTGTCTTTGCGAGTAAAAAGGTTTTATTTACTTTTACACAAAAACTCAGCTTGTCGCACTCGGTGCCTAACGCTTCCCAGAAGAGCGAAAGCGGCGCACTGCCTCGCAAAAAGACACGTGTTACCCATGTTAAGACTTTTAATCAAGTGAGAAAATGAAAACGACAGGTATTAACGATTCTGAACGAGTTAAGTAGTCGGCACAATTGGAGGCGACCTACTTGGAGCCTGAAGAAAAGAACGGCTTCATAACGGTATTAACATGCTGCTCCAAGTTGTTTTGGACTTTCAAATTGTTCACCCCTTAAACTGGAAAATCAAACACAAGTAGAGGTGGATTGCTGACTCTTGAAAGAGGAAGTACTTTAAACTCGGGTCCAAAATGTCTTTAATCAGAATCATGATCAGCTTTACTCACCAGGTTTTTCGCCACGCAAACAAGGAGCTTTATTTTGGTTCCGCTTTGGTCTCAATGAAGAGATTTAAGGTATAAATATATGAAAAACAGAAAATAAAGCGGTACAGACACCTTTCAGCACAATGGTGTAAAATATTTCCAGATTTTATTGCAAAAGCATGTAATAATACTAATGTAGTATTTGGGTCCAAAGTGCCATATAACATTTGCCATGATGTTAAATTTTATAGTATGTGATAATTTAAATAAATATGGTGTCATAACTTCAAATTTCTGATGAAGTTATTTATTGCTACTTAATTATATGTTGTAAGCAGATCTACCTAATTTATGTGTTGCAGCCACATCATGGCTTTGTTTTATTGATCAGGAGAGGCAATTCTTGATAGTGAGGTGGTCATTTGTATTCATTAGTATTCATCCCATTAGATCTCTATGTAAAATCAGAAGTCAATCCTGTGTAATCTGATCAGTCAGAAGTGCAACAAGGTGACTGGTCCTCAGTTAAACTCCTGTGCAAGTAAACCTATAAAATTTTGGTATCTATTTGACGAAACACACTGAGAGGTTCAGTTGTTTTATGGTCAACTGTAGCACACAAATAGAAAATAATAAACACAGAAATGGATATATCTAATTTGGAAATATAATAAAAAGTGGTAATTTGCTAGATCTGGATGTTGTGCATCTGGATGGAATTTTGTACAATCCCGGAAAACACATGATGGTTTCATCCAGAATATGCTACTGTGGGATACAGTCTCTGCTGCCCAGGAATGTCGTGACAGTTATGAGACTGTCTTCATTAAGAGGCCTTTTCAGATTGGTTGGAAGACTGACTGCTACCGGAGCTCCTTCCTGCCCCACAGCATCACCATCCACAACGACTCTTTGAAGATACTTGGATATGAGTTGCAGCATTTCATTTCCCTTTGGGATAAATAAAATATTAAATAATTTTCAATTTCATTATACATTTAACTTAATTCTGTATTTAATAAATCACATTGTAATAATCTTATAACTATCCAAATATATGTATACCGAAAAAAATTTTTTTAATTACTTTTATTATTTACATTTTTAGTCAAACTGTCACATAAATATTTGACAAATCCTTCGCATATAGTAAAGAGGTAAAAAAATAAAACTAAATTCTGTCGCTTTTCACAGCTCGTTCCCTAATGACCGCCTGGATGGGACCACAGTCAGTTAAATAGGGGGGTTCTGTGCTGCTAAAACCTTTGCTGTCGTCTTTCTGAATAGTAATTAAATTTAACAGCGGGAATTCCAGGTTTTTCTCTTACTAATATAAATGCTTTGTATTTTATTGGTGGAACTTGAGAGGAGAAATTAGCTTGATATTTCTTATATTATAGCGACTCTCCCCCTCCTGAACGAGCAACAATGGACCATCCGGGAAGCGTGCTTCACTGTTTGGGGAAATACCTTCACCGAACGGTCCTTCCAGACTTCCAGCGCAGGGCTTTATCTTTCTGTTTTGTTTTTATGCTAGTAACAGTCTCCACTGCGTCGCGTTTAACGGAAACAACAGTGCTTCTCTGTGTTGCTGGGACGGTCACTGTTGTCGTGTGTCTTGGAGGGAACGGTTCGGATTTGCCCTGACTGACTTCAGCTGCACCATGTCCGATTCGGTCCTGCTGCTCCTGATACTCTTCCTCCTGCTGTGTTTGGTGCTGACGGTCGGTGGGCTGCTGGTGTACTCGGGGCTCCTTTCGGAGGTGGTCGTTAAAACGGGGGCTCCTCCGATTAGGAACGTCACTGTCGCCTATAAGCTCAAGCAGGGCGCCTACAAGGACAGCGGTGCAGCCTTCACGGAGACCTACAGCATTGGCCCCAACCTCAGGCCCATCGGGATTTTCTACGATGACCCCAAAAAGGTGAGACCCCCCCCCCCCC